TAGCTGAGATAACCCGTCAAGATATGCTATTAACCAGAAACCTCGCAAGTAGCTAACCATGAAGCCCAAATCATAAGCGGTGGGACTCTCCCACTTAGCTTGAAGCCATTATTACAAAACTCTGGAGTTCACCATTATTCTTAATCTCTTGTTGGCATAACCTTGCGCAATCATCTGCCGCAAATTCTCGGAATTCTCATGTAAATCCCCATCTTTCATATTCTGAATCATCATCCACCTTCGCACTGGCAATCGCTGGCATTCTCGGTATCTTACCGTAGAAACTCAATTTGATACTCTAAATCATTAACACCATTCACACAACAATTCCATTTGCTGCATATCCAGTAGAACTCTCCGCAGAAGCCTCGCCAACCACGCGACTGCTAACCTGCTCGCCGGAATACTTCACCTGTCGAAATCACTCCCCGGCATCTTCCAACGCTGCTGCGTAGGGTACCATCACTACGACATCAATAACCCATCCTGAGTCTGAGCTCACTCTCCAGTTGCACGAGTCCATTCACCCCCCGTGGACATCCATTAATTGTGCGACAACATCCCTTCACTTCAAAGTCATGCTACGTCTTTCTTCACTTCATGCAGCTCCTTTCCACAATATCCAATCTTCTGCCGTATAACAACACCATGCTTCGAATTAATCTACCAACTTCCATTGCCTGTCGCTAAAATCCCAGATCCTTCCAAACTATCCTTAGGTGCGTAGTCATCCTACTACTAGGCCCTATACAGCCCCGCCACTCTCCCACTTTGGGCAAACTCACTCCTTTAACCAACTGTTCGTCCTGCGCTCCCTAAGTCTGGCCTTTTAGAAGTTTTAAAACTCTGCCTGACACTTCCCATATGTCCTCCTCATCTTTTGTTGCTCAGTCGTTGTCTTAATAAAATTTATCTTCATAGCACCTGAATCCACAAATCGCTACTGACTAAAACCCCATCTGAAGGTAATCTTTATCGAACCGTCAACATTTGAAACATTGATTAAATCCTAAACCACCGCATCCCGCGATATATGACGGTTGCATCTTCAATAATATTTCACAATATCCCGCCATAAGGCGAATTGTAGTAGATAATAACATCACCAAACTTAATACGTCCAATTAGGACAATAGCACCCCAATAAAGAAGAGAACTCCTTCACGCTTGCAATTATCACGTTTTATTACTTCCACTAGTTCACGTCTGACCATCCTTAGCTCGATTGGCTTTCCCCCTGCCGGGAATAAAATAGTGACTCCCTTGATTACGCACTGAGTAAACCTCACTTCAAGTCATTCACTGCCCCGACACGTGGGCAAACATCCCACCATCACGACAATACTACGGGATAGTCGCTCATAAGCATTATGACAACCTGTGCCTAGCCTCAAGGCTCTCGGAAGTTTTGTTCCGGAGCTAAACAATGTAGATTCCTTGCATAATACGACTATAATAGTCCAATCAACTATACCGGGAAAATCATCCCGCACCACATTTGCAGTGCCATTGCAATCCTTCCATTTTCGATTTATAACAAGTGCTCGCGTAAGATTGAGTGGAAAGGAATCAAAGGCATAAGCCTCAAAGGAATTGAACCGCACGATAAGGAAATCAAGAAGGGAAGCACTCCTAACAGTCCTGCAGCCTCCCGAGGATAAGTACAGACGTCTCTGTACCGATCCGCGAGACTCTACTAGACTTGCTCATGACTCGTGAGACCGACGGGAACCTAGAGCTCTGATACCATGTTGTCACGACCCAAATCCACTACGGGTTGTGATGGCGCCGGACACCGCTGTCAGGCTAGCCAACTATATTACCAGTTAATTCCTCTCTTAATACTTTTGAAAATCTAAGGTTTTTCCTTCCGTTTTACATAAATAAAGATCATTTCTTGAATTCAAACTTAAATAATAATAATTAGTACAAAGTTTACTGAAACCATCCCAGAAACTCGGTGTCACAAGTGCATGAGCAACTACTGAATAGGATATAAATACAACACAATATCCGTCCGGAATACAATGGACGGAAAAGAAATACAGTTACTAGAAAGGAACTTTAAAGAGCCACGGCTCGCCTTGCATACTGCAACTCACCTAGTCCCTGAATCGTCCGTGCTGCTGCGCCGATAGGCCGCTAATGTATCATGTACCTGTGCAACAAAAATGCACAGAAATGTAGTATGAGTACGTAATCAACGTGCACTCAGTAAGTATCCCGCCTAATCTCGAAGGGGTAGAGACGAGATGGCCAACTTCGACACTCGCTAGAGGTCAATAAACAATATTCTGTAAGTGCGAGAATAATCATGGATTTATATAGAAGTTCTAATTGTGAAGCCAGAAAACAGGTAAACACCTTCAACAATAAAATCAAGGGCTTCCAAAGTCTATTCTTTATTATCTTATCAGTTTATATAAAGCCGCGTAGGGCCAATTCCACATTTACAAGTTTAGAGTAACAGATAAACATGCGCAAATCACACCGAGGCGACGGCCCGCTCCAACAGGAATGTAAACTGTGCACTGCCGAGGGTCGAGCGGCACGAACCATAGATGCATCTATTCTCACCGAGGCGTTCAGCCCGTTTCTTAAATAAACACATATCCTGCCCGCGAATCATCCATGCGACGCATGCACACATAAAATACATGCTCAAGTAGGAAATTAAGAGTTTATCGAGGATAATCATCCAAATAGACAAGTTTCTCTTTTCTTAACATTTCAGGGAAAATTAATATTAAATCTCTTTTTAAATTCCTTTACCAATTCAAGGTGATTTAAACAATTCCACTATGAATGGGTTCACACTAATCCAAGTATCATGCTTTTTTTTTGGGTTCTAGACTACCCGGACAATAGCATAATAGTAGCTACGCACGGACTCTCGTCACCTCGTGCGTACGTAGCCCCCACAAATAGGAGCACATAATCAATTTAACTCACCTATGGGGTAGTTTCTCCCTCACAAGATTAGAAAGGAGACTCACCTCGCTCCGAAGATCCACAACCGGCATTCTACATTCTTCCAAAGACTTGCACCAACGCACAATGCTCCAAAACTAGCTAACGATCATACGAATCCATTAATATATGCTCAATTATACTTTACAATCCAATTTATAGCAATTCCTAACCCCGAACGAAAAGTTGACAAAAATGCCCTCGGGCCCACGTGCCCGGAATCCGAATTTTTTCGAAGATAAAGGTTACCCATGACCTTGGGAACTTTAATATGTAATTTTCGCCTAATTCCATACTCAAAATCGTGGCTATAATTCAAGATTATAATTTTCTAGGTTTCCAACCAAAATCCCAATATTTACTCTAATTTCCATGCTTAATCTCAAACATAATCAATGTATTTAGCTTATAATAGGTAGGAATAACTTACCTTAACATTGATGACGAAATTCCTCTTTGAAGCTCTCCAAAAATCGCCCCCAAGCCATGAAAAATGGGAGAAATGAGCTCAAAATCCGACTTAAAACAACCTCACTGCCCAGCTATTTTCGCTTCAGCGGAAATCTCTCCGCTTCCGCGGTCCCGCTTCTGCGGACCGCTTACCGCTTCTGCGGTTCCCATCGCTTCAGGTTTTCCGCTTCTGCGGTTAGCCAACCGCTTCTGCGGTTCCGCATCAGTGGTCAAAGTGCCGCTTCTGCGGTCCTGGCTGCCCTCGCCCTAGTCCGCTTCTGCGGCTTCTTCCCCGCTTCTGAGGGGCCGCTTCTGCGATTCCATATCCGCAGAAGCGGTTATACCAGATACCAGCTGCATATTTCTTCCAAAAATCCCATTTTTGATCCGTTAACCACCCGGAATTCACC